GGGGTTTTGAACATAGAACTCTACAACAATGTCCAATCATTTTCTCTATTTTTATTGTAAAAATATTTTTATTTTATGACATAAACTAAAAGAAAGTGAAATTTCCATTTTAAAGACGAAGTATCAAGATAATCACAAGTTTCTCTTACATAACACCAAAAAGAGGTTTTGTATATTTATGATTACATTCTAAGTGTATTAAACTTAACCACTTAAATGAATTAAATTACTTGATTAAAATAAGAGAGGGGCAATTATCATATCTTGTCGGATTTATAAAATAACCCACAAATCCAACCGTTCATGAATTAAAGAAATATAATCTAAATTAAAAGTCATGAATAAAAGAAATGTAACCAAGATTATAGTCATGATCACAACCATAATCCTAATTAACCTTCTAAATATTGCTATAACCAAGATTAATTTCTAAGAGACAAAATAAAATTCTAAAAAAGAAGAAACAAAAACTTCTACCAATAAAATAACAAAACAAAGGTTAAAGAGATAAGTAAACTCTTCCTAGAAGGTATGAAACTGGGAGTGGGTATCGAAACAGTGATTCTTTTGTCACTAGGAAGATAACAAATCTTCTTCTCCTCTTTTAGGTTATCCGCACATTATTCTTTTGTCTTCTTCTTTGATTTTCTGTTGATTCTAAGCTATACTAGTTGTTGTGTTGTTGATAGAACTAGGATTGAGTAATGATTATTAGGTTGGTTAGGGAGATTGATGTATGCTGATGAACAAAGTGATGAGATACTAGAGGTTGAGCCCTACTCTATCAGAGCTTACATGTGAAGTTTTGATGAGTGATGTCAAAGGGGCTTTGGTGATGTGTATGTGAGAATGAAGAAGTAATCTGATAGAGTGAAAACAGGGGGGGGGGGGGGGGGGGGGGGGGGGGTTTATAGGTGAAAGTGGATGAATTTTGGAGGGAAATTCTATTAGTTGGTTGAGAATAATTGCATCTATGCCCTTGGATTGCAATCCATGTGAGGGATTTAAGAGAGGCTAAAATTGAGTCTCAATGAAGTTAGTTGGATTTTGTGTTTTCTCTTAGGGGGTTTGAGTGGAATTGAGTCTATTGTGTGTTAGTTTGGTGTAGTTCAAATGTTGGATTGAAATTTGGAGGGAAAGTTCTAACCAATTTGGACAGTTAGTTGATGGTTAGGGCAGGGTTAGTTATAAGAGGATTTGGTTAGTTGTTATGCTAGAAGCAGTTAAAGTTAGTGGACTGTTAGTTAGCAGTTAGGTCAGTTAGGAGTGTGGTTAGCTTGAAGTTAATGTTGACCATTAGTAAGGTTGGTTCAAAGGGTTAAGAATTAGGAAATTGAAGGGTTAGTGTTAGTGTTATGTTGGAAGTCTGAACTGAAGAAAAAAATAGTTATAAGGAAGCTTTAGTTAAGGGAGATTGGTTAATTGTTCGTGTAGTATAACAGTTAGAGTTAACTTGAGGATTAGGGTTGGTTTATGGCTTGCTGAAGTTTAACTGTCATGACAGCTTTGAAGTCATATTCTATGGTTTACTGGAATTATGTATGCATTGCTAGCTTTTGTATTGGGCCATTTTGGTGATGGATTGAATTGTATATTTTGATGTGAATTTGCTTTTTGGTGTGTTTTGGATAGATGGGGATGGTTTGTGATTGCCTTTTTTTGGAATATATTGAATGTATGCAGGTTTTGGTTTGGCATAGTCATGGCCTGTTTCTTCTTGCATTACCCTTTTGATTTTGCATTGGATTGAATAATACTGCATTCTGACTTATAGTGTGTTATTTACAGGTTTTTGGTGATGTGGATGGATTGCTTGCTTGCCCATGACGTCAGTTGAAGAACATTTAAAGGAACATTGAACTGGAAGTGGAAGATAGTAGAAACACATAGTCAAGGGTTTAGGGTACGGTCAAAGGTTTAGTCAACATGTCAACCCTGTTGATCAAAAGTTAACCCACCTCTTTTCTTTTCTTTCAATTTTCCATGTACATTATTGTAATGTAACTTGTCTTGTAATATTAGCTTATACCCAAGTGTAAAACACTTTCTTTCCATTGATAAAACTTTTCCTTTTCTTTCAATCTTCATGAATAATAGTTGATCAAAGTGAACTTTAGACAAAAAATAATGATCAAAGTAGTAAAAAAAAAAAGATATCCACATCAAAAGTCAAAATCAAAATAAATAAAGGTTGTTAAATATAAACCATGCATGTTGTATTATGAGACTTAGACTAAGTATGATGAATGAAGCCAAAAAAGACTTTTAATGAATGCTCAGATGAATTTAGCAAAAGCCAGATAAAAATAAAATGGGGTATGACAGTTGTTCCTATTTAACTATCATGAACTAGAGGATATGAAAGATGATATTCTTCATAAGATTAATGGTGAAGGTAGTTAAATATATAGAAAACCCAAATTCGGGTATGACAATTCCCCCTATTTTGATAACTTCTATGTTTTTCTACTTTGATGATGCTCTTGATTAGATTGCATTCTTTTTTGTCTTCATCAAAACCACATAGTCACAATTACCTACAATTCATTTAGAACAACAAATTCTTCTTAAAGGGTGCCAACCCAACCTCCTTCGGTGTTATGTTTGAAATATCATGGAGGATAGTGATTATAAGGAAAAGGTAGATGTTTGAGGTTTGGTACCCATAAGAGGCAGAACATGAATGATATTTCTAAACCTCTAAGGATGTCCTTTGTGTTATTGATCCAAGAAATGTGTTACATGAATTTTCTACTTTTCTCTCATTAACTCCCACGTTCTTCATTCCCTAGTACTAGAGATTGACGTTGACAAGGTGGAAGATCTAAACCCCTTGTTCGTCAAGATACCATGGTGTAATTCATTCATCGTGAAGGTTATAATTTGTGTGGTGTTTACTTTAGATGTGGGATTTGCTATCTTCAAAAAAATGACTTAAAGATGATCGTGCTAAAGCCTAAAAGGAGGTTTTGCTCATGCGATAAGGGTTGAGAAATGTAAGACTACCATATCTAATTAATAAGAAAAACTTATAAACAACACTGGCTTGCTTAAAATAGCATAGTGGAGGTTACTCATTAGACGGAGGTGAAATATTAGAATGATCAAGTATAGTCTATGAAAGACAATAAATTTGTATCAGAGTTATGGGAGCATTCTCACCCAGAGGAGAAGAAGTCGATGAGAATCATCTTTAAAAACTCATAGAGAAATTATGACTTCTTAATAAAGAGATTAACAAGCTGCAGAAAGATTATAATAAGATCGTGGCGTTTATTCTCAAGGATGGTTCTCAAAGGTTTAACAAAGTTATACCTCAAATCCTCTTAAACCACCATAAATTTCATTAGTCGCCTCTAACATCATCTCGTAATGGATATATGTTATTTGCTTGCAAACTAATATCATTAAAATACTTAGGCTCTTTATTTCTAACACTTTCAGCAAACTTCTTGCTTCGCCCCCCTTTTAAGTATTTGACTCAATAAATATCTCTTTTATTTTATTGTTTGTGTCTCACCCACACAACCTTCTTATTAAATCTCACAATGAAGCTTTTAAGTGGTTCTTCTCAAACCTTTAAGAGATTTAGGTTGTCTTTTAAATGTTATAAAGTGGGTTGTGAAATGTTTGCATAGTTCACCTCAAGAGTTGATAAATTCAGTTGTTATGTCCTTACACCTAAAGGTGGAAAACGAGCATGTCCGTCCCGCAAAAGTCTGTAAAAAACGACACGGGTCAAGACAGACAATGTGTAGGGCACGTCCTTAAAATTTTGGCCTGTCCTATAAAAAATGAGAGTGAGGCCGCAAACACTACATAATTTTAGCCTAAAAATCGCAAACACTTATGTTAATCCCCGCGCCTGCAAAAACTTACAAAAAAAGCAAGAGAGAGTGAGTCATACATATTAGACGGCGCAAGCCTAAGTTCTTGGTCGGTCTTACAAAAAAGTGCGTACAAAACGGACATGTCCAATAGGGTGAGTCCGTTTTGCCACCCTTACTTATACCACGTCATTCCTCCCTTCCTTCCGCGTGAGGACAAAGAAATTTCACTTCTCACCTTTCTAAAAAAATAAGTATAGTTTCTATGACTTCAATGTGGTTGTTTAGGCTAGTCGTCCCATCATATGTTCTCATCCCTAAAGACTTTTAGAAAATTTTAGGATGAAATATTTATTCACGAAATGAAAGTGTTCTTCTTCGAATACATCGTCTTTGTCCCTAAAACCTCTTTCGAGGAATAAGAATGACATTCCTGGTTTAAAAGGGAATGCTCGTCCAAGGGACATCCCCAACTTTTTCATTGGGGTAAGTAAAGCTGAGCCTCTATACCATCTACTACAATATCAATGAAATTTCTTAAAATCTCAATCAAATACACTTTCGTTAGTTTCCACGTCTTAATAGATAAAGATAACACTAATCTATTACATCATAATCAACTATACATATAACTTTTCTTTTAGAATTTACTTTTTTTATTTATGTGTAAAAATTTTACATACATTTATAGTTGAAATTATCTTGTATTTGATAAGTTGGTAAGTTAATTGATAGTTGCTAACCAATAAGAATAGTTAAGATCAATAGATAAATATTTAAAATATAATATTTAGGATTAAAAAGTGTAACATTCACATGTAGGTAGAAAATCCCTCTACAATTTAGTGCATATTATACATAAAACTTTTTAGTATAAATTTTTTTTTATTAATTTATCACCATCATCCATTTGCATTATATTATAAATATTTAAAATAAAAATTAAATTCTTTCCAACCTCCAATATTTGTGATTAAATAAATGTACAAAAAATATATTTCAATTAAATTGTTTTTTATAATATGTGTTTTTTCTGCAAAATGTTACAGATTAAACAGTTAGGACATGAAATGAAATTAAAAATTTCCCACGCTTGTTTTCTTCCTAAACCCTAAACCTCTTCCTCCAAAGAAGCAACACTTTTGAAGCATTGATCCAATTCCACTCCAATCCATGCTCTCTCTCGCCAAACGCCTTCACTCACTCAGACTCACACCATTCCTTTCTCGCGGCTCCCACCAACTCCGCACTCCTCGACCCGACGCTGCCTCCCACTCCAGGCGGCGCCACAAGTCTCCGCCTCTTCCGCTGAAAAAAGCGGAGGAGAGGTCAGAATGGTGGATCGTCGACGGAGAAATGCACGAAATAGGAGATAACGTGCCACCACGTGAGCGGTTTGTGATTCCTCGAGAGAATATTCCCAATAAGCGCCGCAAGCAGTTGAGAGAACAGTTCATGCGCAGGACTCGCCTCGTTCTTAAGGAATCTGTTAGTACCTCTTCTTTTCTCTAACCTTCTATTTTTCATTTTTATTTATTTTCATTTGTTTGGTTCATGAGAAATTTATATGACTAACTAGTTATTAGAAAATATACTTTGTAATTGAATTTATGTGTTGTTACTCAAATTAGTAGAGAATCTGAGGCACAAATTTAGGATTAACTTGATAGTCAGCATGTCTTTTAGGACTTTGTTTGGATTGAATCATTATAGATTATCTATTCGCATAGGCGCTTTTGTGACTTTGATGGAGAGGTTGTAAAAGTAAAGCTCTGTTTGCAAAAAAAAATAGATTATGACTGATAAGCCAGCTTATAGCGGATGAACTTGTAGCTGATAGCTTTTTAAGCTAGCTAATGGTTGCTAAAGAATAAGCTAGCTAATTGAATTTGTATTGTTCAGTAAAATTAGTGGTTGAACTAACCTATCAATGTAAAATGACATAAAACATGTATGTTTAATTAAAATTGTTTTTTCCAATTAGGATAAAATTGGTAAATTTGAGAGTGAAAATGATAAGTTACTTGAATTAGCATATAAAAAAATGCCACAAGCCAGTAAAAATAAGCTATAAGCTTGTGGGAAAATGATGGTTAGCAAACACAAGTGTTGTCAATGGCAGATGACGGAAAGCCAAAATCCCGCCATACCAGTCCCTTTACGGTGCCATTATAGCGGAGTATGGTGGAAATACATGCAATTTTGGCCGATATTTTCCACTGCAGCAAGCCCAAAAATTGCTATGTATATCTGCCATAGGGCCGCCATTGCGGATATATGATAATACTCAAGACGACTCTTTTAAACATATGAGCTTATATGCTATAATCTCAAAATATGGCCTTACCAAACAGAGTTTAACTTATTTTATGCTCATAAGCCGTTTTCAACTTATTTCCATAAGTTCTCTAGGATAGTTTATGAAATCAGCGTGTAAAATAAAAGCTTATTTAAATTGTTTATCTAAATACAGCCTTATTTAATTTGGCAGAATTCCCAATGTTCTAGAGTAACGTGAAGATAGGGTAACTTTTGAAGGACCAATTTGATGTATTTATTTTGAAAAACTTTAGTAAATAATAAAATTAAACATCTGATTTTGTGCTATTTGAGTGTCATTCAATCTTTTCTGCATTTTCACCATTTTTGATTGAGTGTGCTTTGGTTAAAATTTATCTATTTATTTATTTTTTGTTTGATATCGTCTTAAAAACAAAATCAAAGGAATTATAGGGTTAAGTCACAGATTGATGTTTTACTGTGTCGTTGTCTTTGTATGTTTAGTTTGTTTTCATGATTACGTGGTAAGTTCCTTTTGTAATGTGAATGGGTATTATACCGTGGTAATTTTGTGTTCATACTTAGGCGATATCGACCTCCTTGTTGGGAAAACGGTGGTGACAAGTTGTGATTTATATTTTTACTTACATGTTAAATTTAAATCTTAATTGTCCTCATAGAACATGCTTATTATATTGAAAGGAACACGATCCTTGGTGCAAAAGATATATGGAATTATATAATGAACTTCGAGAAAATTGGGAGAGACTTTATTGGGACGAGGGTTATTCTAATAAGCTTGCTCGGGATCATGCGAATTATGAGTCTGCTGAAGATGATGATGAAGATTTCTCTCCTTATAGGTTTGCCTCCATTGTTTTCCTTCTTTTCTACATAGTTCATTTCTGCTTTTTTCTTCTTGGAAGAATATAATGGTTGTTAATGGCATGTGCATGAGCTTGACTGCTGATGCAGTTGAGATTTTCATGCTGAAGAACCGAACTGAATCGCAATTATTCTTATAATATTTTGAGGAGCCTTTCTTGTAATCTATGAACTCCCTTCCCTTCCCTTGGTGGTGGATTTTCTGGTTGAAATTTTGTACACATACATTTGAATTGACAGCATTACATTGTTTTTCTTGGTCAATCAGATTAATGGTTTAATTTCACCTGTCATTAAGTAATAGGGGGTAATGGAGATGGTGTCTAACCTTGGGATTATCTGTTATGGCTTTTCAGGAATAGAAGACCCCAGATGGAGTATAACAAGGTACAATTGAAATAATTTGAATATATACTTGAAAATGACCAGCACCATAGTTTGCTAAGAATATCGTTTGATATGTGAGCTGCACATAATAAATTGCCATAAGAAATTATGCTTACTGTTTGAGTTTTAATTTAAGAAGCTGCATCATCTGAGAGGTGATGGATGAGAAAGGATTGATATTCTGTGTATTTTGTTATCATTAGTAGTTGATATCTGGGCCCACTATTGATCTGATTGTATAAGATAGTTCTAATCTTTAAGATCGAAATTTTTCTAACTATATTTTTTTGATGATTGCATTAATGCAGGACCAGAATTTTGGTAGAAACAGGCAATCTGATAGCTGGGATAAAGTTAGCCTTATACGCGATAAATTTGAGTATGACAGAGAGAGAAGAATGAAGGAGAAAGGTTAGTTTAGATTCTACCTTTTTACTACCATTCTCATACAGCTTCACAAGTTTTAGCAATCCCTGCATACAGCCTTTTTTATGTAGACATACTCTAATGGATTGAGCTCAATACAAAATAAATTCTGTTAAATTAATTGTAAACCAAGTTAGCGTAAGTTGAATATATTAGAAATGTCTTAAAACTGCTTGGTTTTTTCTAGCATGACAGTAGATAATCGTTGCTGTAGTCTACTAAGAAGCTTGCTAATCGTTGCTGTGAATATGTTGAGTCTGTTATTCATACTATTCTAACCGAAAATTTGAAGGCCAAAAATAGTTTTCTGTGAGTTCCTTCTTCTGAAAGCAATCCAATCATTTTCATCACATTATGTATATTGTAATTTTTTTCATGTTATTGCAAAGTATCACGGTTGGAACATATTTAGCCTTCTAATAGAGACAATTCTCAAGGAAGAGTTTCTTTCATATCACTTGTAGCTTCCTACGTGCTCCATGAACCATCTCTTGTTCTTTACAATTTTGTATTGTTGGGTTCAATTCTAATGAAAAAGGGTTCGATTTTCATCAACCCTTATTTATTTATTTTGCAGCATTTGCTCCCATACATGGAGGATTTGTAGCTGACTCTAATGAGTCGGAAGGCTGGAACCAACCACTAAATACCGATCGATATTTTAGCCAAACAGAAAGGTATCAAGAGGAGGAGAATAAATGAACTATGCCTTCCATCTCGCGAAAAGATAGGACAGTGTTCCTTCTCACTTCACATTTCTGTCCATTTAACTTCGATACTATTTTGGTTCAATGTGACATCAGATTCTAAGAAAATGATCGACAGAGAGATTACATGGGTGTTTTTTTTTGGTTTAAAGCTCCTTCAGTTAGGAAGATGAAATTGTGTTTTTGAATAGAAACATGATAATGTATTAAAGCACTGACCTTTTCTCTCTGCCAGAAAGGATGATTGTTGTGACTTGTGAGAATGTAAAGAAAATTGAAGAAACATGATACTGATGAGATGTTGTAACTAATAAACTCATTTAGTGTAGTATGTAGATATTTACTTTTCAAACTCAACCGAGGTTGTTATTTAGGTTCCGTTTGTTTTATTTTTAAAAAACTAGATTTTTTTCTTGTATTTTAAAAGATGATTTTTATAAAAGATTAATTTTGACATCTATTTTTTGACTCATTTTTTATAAAACAAAGTTTAACTCTTTTTTTTTTTAAATTAAAAGATTAATTTTGAAGAATATATATATATATATATATATATATATATATATATATATATATATATATATATATATATATATATATATATAAAGCGTAGTCAAAATTATATAAAATTTTAATCTTCAAAAATGATTTTTCATGAAAAATATAATAAAAAGATAAAATGGAATATCTAAAATAGTACTTTAAGAAATATTATTTAAATTAAGTTTTTATTTGAAGTTCTTTATAATTTTTTTGATGTAGTTCCATTGGATTTTTTAGTAGTATTTCACTGGGTTGCTCATTTTGGTTTTGATACAATTTTTGAATTTTTACAATTATAAAACATGCAACTTAAAAGTTGTACTACTGTCCTATCTCGATTCAATGCATGAATGCCGGAAATAGTGACAGCGGGGAATCATAACCCCACTGGTGGTTAAATCAGTTTTATTTGCATCGCATTTTTTTACTGATCTAATCATATTCACGATAATAATTTTCAGAATTTGGCTATTCATTTAATCATAATTTTTCATTTAGATATTAAAAGACAAAATTAACTTGTTTATTGTCTTAAAATTTTACATGTATATGCAGTTAATATTTTTATGGATGACTAATTTTGCCATTTCAGAAACAAAATTTTTATTTTTCACGAAAACATTTATTTCTCTTCCAATTTTCTACTTATTTTCATATATCAAAATAATATTAATAATTTAGTTTGGGTTTGTTTGTCAAATGTGGAAAATAATTGTATAGCTAATGGTTTAAAAATTCAGAGAGTTATAAAAAAATTGATAAGTGTCATTTTTAACGACTTTATATCATTTTTTAAGTAACAAACTCAATTCAACTTCAAGTAGGTTATAATTTAAAGTTTATATTTTTAATATAAATTAGTAAAACATACTATTTCTTTACATGATTTTATTTTATAAATTAGTTTAACTATTGATTTTATCAATCATTCAATCTGCCAATGGTTATCAATTACTCCCTTCATTTCACGTGACTCTTTTGACCAAATGTAAAATGAAATAGGGCAAATTTTTTTGGTTTAAAATACTCTTATTAATTATAAATTATTGATTCAAAATGAACATTATAATATGTGAAATATATTGAATTGTGGATGATGAAAGTTTTTTTTTTTTTTTGGTTATTGCACTGCTTGCCAACGCTATCATCTAAACCATACTTTAACAATGAAGAAAGTAATATAGATTTGAGATTACAATTAAAATAGATAAATTTAAAAATGAGTCATCTAAACCACATATCAACTACATTTTTATCTCTTCTTACTTTTTTTTCCCACTGCTTTCTCTCCCATAACTGACAGAAATTATATACTTCTTTTACTTATATATTCAAAACATAATCTAGATATTGTTATAGACTAAGTACTAAGCTTACTCAGAGGTCAACTGTGCTACATATTTTGGTTGGATTTGTGTCAGTCACTCCCAAAGTTGTTACTTATTCTCTTGTGTTTTGTATTTATCTGTTTGTCTAACTATGACTGTAAACCAATACCCTCATTCCTTTTCTCTTACTATTAGCCTTAGTTTAGAGTTTGAAAACATGGCTACCTTTTTCATCAAAAGAAAAGAAAACATGGCTACCTTACAACCACAAAAGGCTGAAATTTTACATCCTTAAACTGTGCATGGTTGCTTTTGACCTCATAACGCGCCCACAATAATTATAGAAACTTTAGCCTTTTCAAACTAAGATATACTAGTTTAATACAAAGCAAAAATATGAAAATAACTTGTGACATTAGTGATTAACATAGCACTAGCTAGTTGGTATTTAGTGTTGTAGAGAGAGAGGGTCACATGAGTATTTGGCACAAAGCACAAAGAACTGAAGCCTATAGGTACGCGTGTGACTTGTGATGTAGATAAAGTTAAAAACACATCTCACAAGCAATTCTATTGGTAAATATGAGTATGGAGATTGGAGTTCCCCAACAAAGAAGCAACAAACTTTGGACCTTTTCTCAGTATGCATTGGAATACACGTTTTTTGTTTCATCACTTCAGCGACATATTAGGCCATATTGTACTGATATTGCACAGATTACTGACCCTTTCCCTCAATAAAAACAAAACTAATCAGTGGGTCAAGGAGGGTAGTACTAGTTTTCTTTAATGAAAAATATAAGTCATCAAAGACTACTACTCCTAATATTGTTATATAGGTCAAGTTTGAAAATAAAGTTGTAAGATTTCAGGCATGCTTTGATAGAATATCATAATTCATACTTATAAGTATTACTCTATCTTTTTAAAATAAATGTCGTTTAAAGTTTTTATATAAAAATTAAGAAATACAATTATATTGTTATAAAATATTGTATTTTTATTAAATTAGTCATATTACTGTGTTGAAAATTGTATATCGAGTAATAATTATACGATATAATTAAAAAAATAATAATTATTATTACATTAAAATGTGAGAATGACATTTATTTTAAAATAATTTTTTTAAAAAATAATAGTCATTTTAAAACAGAGAATATTATAGATAAAATCATGCATACATTGATTTAAATTTGTCCATTTTTTAAAATTCTATCAACCACCATTAAAACACGTGTACTAAAGAAATCAATACTTTTTTTTCTTTCTTTCTAAAAGTTTATTCATATATTCAATAACATTAGTCTCCTTTACTTAAAAAGTAAAAAGAAAATAGAATATACATCATTTTACACCGTCATCCAATCATCTTCATCTATTCCGTCGTATTGAATTGGTAATTTCAAATTAATGATATAATATAATGGATTAATAAATTTTTATTTAATAACAATATAAAATTATTTTACATTGTTGATACATATCAATTAAACTCAAAAGTAAATTAACTCAACTTATATGCTTTACCCTATAGTTAGAATTAAATCTTAATATTTCATGAAAGTGAGATGAAGAAAAGAGAATGAAAATTGAATAATTTGCCTTGTATATTCTATAATTTATTTTTTTCAATTGAACATATTAACTTCTCAAAATCAAATAATAAAGTTCTTAAACGAGCAGCAACGATGATCACCATGTTATCAAACATATGTTAAAATTTATATAGATATTCTAATGGTCTAATTGTCTAGCACAATCAATCAGAAATAAATGTAAGATTGTTATGATGGAGTAGCGATGAAAGTTAGAAAAACCTTTTATATCGGCAACTTCTCACATGTCATCTCGGATATCAATAATGTGATACAAGTTGTTTTCACATGAGATTAAAATTTAATCAAATAAATTCTCCAAATAAAATAGAAAATCAAATGAGAAAAATAATAAAATATGCATGAGGTTAATATGAAGGCGCCACAATTTAAAAGATTGATATGTTAATAAAAAAATCATCACAATGGTAAGAAAGTCATTAATAAAACTCAATTAAGGTTTCAATCCAAAAATTAAAAAGACAAAGTTTAACTTACTCACATTTTTCGTAAGAGAAAATTTTACTTTATTTCAAAATTGTCTAGAAGAGATTATAAAATGTTTATTTATAGTAAGAGCTCTCATAAATCTAAATGAGTCATAAACACCACTTTTTAATCTCATATTGAGTTATAAATAATTTAATTCTCTTCTTCATGCCCTTGATTGATCCTCAACCAATGACGTTTGTTGTTTTTTGGCTTCATTTCCAAAAAAAATAGTCACCGTCACTAAGTTATTTAAGAGCAAACTATTTGTGCAGTTTTTCAATAATTAAGGTCAATAGGTTAGAAGAGTTGCTAGTGATGATGCTAATATTATCCACATAAACCAAGAGATAAGTATTGGAGTCGTGGATTTAAAAATAATGAGTGGCGAATCACATTTGTTGGATTCAAACCCCTCAAGAATAAGGGTGTTTTTGAACATAACAAACCATATCCTTAAAACTTATTTTAAGCCATACAAGGTTTTATGGAGCTTATATACTTGAGTAGCATCACTTAACACAAAGCTAACGTGTTGATTTTTATAAACTTGTTCATATAGAAAACAAAAGGACATTATTGGCATCTATATGTTTGATTCGCTATAAATAAAAGCAGGATAAACAAGTTTTATAATGATAAGTTTAATGGTAAGAGAAAATGCTTCATAAGAAAATCGATCCCATGAACTTTCTCATGTATAGTCCACTTTATAACCACTAACAGTTGATTCAACATAATTACTTGTCAAACATATAACTATACTAGACATTTTATTCCATTTGGATTCAGTGGTTTAACATATAGTTTAAGCTTTGGCTAACTAACCTCTAACGGCAAATAACATTCTTCACTAACATTTAATGCTAACATTCTAACGTCTCCTAACTCAACTCATTAATCTCACTTTAAATCTCTCTAACAGTCCCCCATACTTAACACTAAAATTCAAACTTACTAATTCATAATAATACTAACTCTAATCTCAACTAATATTCAATTCTCTAAAAATCACTTACAATCATAATTCACTGTAA